GTCGCTCAAAACAAGAGGGCGCCAGCATTGTGGTGCAGTGAGCCAAGTGGTCCCCTGTAATGCCAGTAATCCATATGACATTGTAGATCCCCAGTGTTTTACCTCTGGTCCAGAATCCGGCTAACGCACCTGGGAGAGCAGCAGCGGAGGGCCCAATGCGGGACACTCACATGGGAGAGCTGGGTGGGAATCCAGCCTCCCGGTTTGGGCTTGGATCAGCCCCAGCCACTGGCCACAAGGTGAGAGAATTAGTGAATTGGATGACTGATCTCTTTCCCGCCTTCCTTTTTTCCCTAACTCTCTGACTTGAAATAAATAACCAAATCCCATAAAAGAGAGGGAGGTGTTAGAAAAAAGCATGGCTGGCCAGTCATGACCAAGCAGTGAAGAGAGTAATTAAAACAAGGAGTGAAGACAACTCCTCTGGAGTCACTGGCCTGGGGGTCAATGGTGTCCTCACGAGAATAGCTTCAGCGAAAATACAAAGTAGGCTTTGGACTGGAGTGGATGGAAGAATAAGGTGGAGGAGGCAAAGACAACTTGGACAACTGTTAATTTTAGCCCTGAAGAAAAGGAGAAAGCCCGAAGAGGAGATGGTATATCACAGAGGGAGAATTAAACAGGAAGGAGGTAGAAGGGATAGAATTGAAGATTCAGGACAGGATTGTGTAGGGGTAGAGCATGATGCAAACATACTACAGGGAGCAGGAACATTTCAGATATGGAGGGGTGTAAAAAAAGATTAACATAAGGAAAGGGGCATAGGCATGTCAGAAGATGGCAAACAGAACAGGTTGACAACTCCCCTGGCTGAGCTTTGGCAGCAAGTGTCTGGGTGAGTGCATGCGCCGGGGGTGGACTCTGTCAGTCAGTGGACATTGGAAGGATTTTCTCAACCTTGGAGCAACAGAACCAACAGTGTCTCAGAACTATCAAAACAACTCAAGCAATACCCTCGGAACACTCTTCTCTACCTCTTGGTTTCCAATATGATAAGCGGACACCCCCCTTCCCTGGGTACTTGCATAGTTTGGTGGCTGGGAGTGGCTATCCTCCCCTGGCCAACCCACTCCTTCCCACCCCTCCCCAGACACAGGAGCAAAGGGGAGAAAGGGAACACAGGAAGCACTTGTCCCACCCCCTTCCCTCATGCCTTTACCCTCTCCACCCTAATCTGTGGTCCTCATGGCACACACCTTGTCAACTATGTAATGGGCTAAGCCTCCACCTGTGATGCCAGGGTCTCAAATGAGTACTGGCTATTCTACTTTCAATCCAGCTCCCTGCTAATACACCTAGGAAGGCATCAGAAGATGGCCCAAGTGCTGGAGCCCTGAATGAACATGAAGCCTTGATGGAGTTCTGGGATCCTGGCTTTGGCCCCGCCCTGCCCAGCTCTTGCAACCATTTGGGAGGTGAATCAATGGGTGAAAGGTTTCTCTCTCTTTCTGCCTTTCATATAAACAAATAAGTCTTTTTTAAAATTAAAAATAGCTATAAAAGGTATCTCTTGTATTCTGAGAAGATGGGAAAAAAGGAAAGAAACCATGCTGAAATGGGTAAACTTGGAAAAATGATCTCAGAGCAGACAGCTACTGGCAAATGCCTTCAAATCACTTTTTGAAGGAGAAGGCAAAGACATCTGCTAAGAATAAAGTGAACAATTAATTTTTACTCAAAACAGCAAATTTAGTTTCCAAGATAGATATTTAATAAATTTATCCAATAAACATTAACATAAACAGTTACTGTTTCTTTGAATTCATTAGCATCAATACACAACTTTCTTCAAATTAGCCACTAGGGGGCAGGGGTGCCACCAACCTTTCCCTCTATTTTAGCCAAGTGAAGTAGAAACCTGTAGTGCAGTCATTAAAAATGCCTTTCATCCCCCAAAAAATCATGCTTCAGTTTTACACAAATGTACACGTGTGTACTCACGCACCCATGCACACACTGGAGCCTCCCTGCAGTCATGCTATGCGAGGTACTATCCTCAACATTTTCCAGCCGGTTTTTCAAATTTCTCCAGGACACAAAGCAAACATACCCAACAGATTTTCTACACATTGATCAGTTAGAAGAGAATGGTGAAAAAACTTCCTAAGAATGAATTCCTGACATATATCCCATTTTCTTCCAAGTTATTTCTAGCACTCCATGCTTACCCACCCTTCTCTCCAGATAAAATGAGATTAACCTTCAATTTTTATTTATTTGAAAGGCAGACACCGCCCCCCCCCCCCACACACACAATCTTCCAGCTGCTGGTTCATCCCCAGATGCCTACTACAGCCAGGACTGTGCCCAGGATGAAGTCCAGTTCCCAGAACTCAAACAGTTCAGTTTTCACACACAGGCGGCTGGGGTCAGCGTGCCTGAGCCATCTTCTGCCTCTTAGCATGAGCTATAAGAAATCCTGAATCTGAGGCAGAGCCAGGGTGTGGTGTCCCAGTGACTTAATCCCTGTGCTAAAAGCCAGTCGCTACAAGTAGGTTTTAAACAAAATTAGTTTTACATACTTGCATCTCATTCAGTTCCGTCTGCCCCCATCTCAGGTACTTGATGTATCCTCCCAGTGGAGAACGCTTCATCTCCAACACCCCCTGCCTATCATGTGTACACAAAGGAGGAGCCATACTGAAGTAGGCATGCAGCAGCGCAGCTAGCAAATACTTCTTCCCAAGTTGCTTTCTATGGAACTGGGGCCCCTAGCAATCTGAGGGAATCTGCAGAGTTCTTAATACATCGCGGGGTGTAGAAACTCTAAACACACCCAAACCCCAAAGGAAAAGTAGATGTAAAAAGGCAGACCGCTGCTGGGAAGTTTGGGGTTACACAGATCAGCTCAAACCCGGGAACTGTATTTCTACAGCAGGACTTCCAGTCATCCGAGCGAAAGCACGTCACAACCCTGGCCTCAGACAGGCCACTGGGAGCCTGGTCAGGAGCCTGGCGCACTGAGGGTCACAGAAGTCAGGGCGGAGATGGGCTGGGGGAGGACAGGAAGGGTGTATCAAGAGGTGGTTCAAAGGGCTGGAAGGGGTGCTTGACCCCAGAGTCTCCGCACTTGACTATTTTGAGCCAAAATTGTTGGTGAACAACAACACCCAAGAAATGGATCATTAAGAGAGCCAGCTAGCACTGAAGTGGTCATCAGTCAAAGGCAGACACAATGTCAACTTGTTGGTTTGCAAATCCTTTGAAAACAAAGTATCCAGGCTCTTTTAGGATGGTGTTCTAATTCGAAAAGGAAGGCTCACTTTTTTCAGTTTTGCTCTGTTTCACTGGACAGTAATCCATTAGCTGGTATAATACCTACTTTCAGAAGTATGTGCTGGAAGCGCTGCAGGTCAGAGCATTTTCTAAAACATTTCTGCAAATGCTAATAGCAAATGACTTCTTCCTGAACCCTAGTAAAAATTCAACTTCCCAAGTACACTGATAAAACCCTGAGGAGGAAGAAGTTTCTTTCCTAGGAATTATAACCCTTGCTTCCACAGACACCCTCAAAAGCAGCTTTATTAAACCCCGATGCGCATTTCACTGCCTTATCCCCACTGTGTGTGGAATCTGTGTCCGTTTTCAAAGGTCATGTGCTAAATCCTTAGATTTTTTTTTTTCTTCCTCCCCAACAAATGATCTAAGAGCTTGATTTCATTGACACACACATTTGCACTCCCCGACAACAACACTTCCTTTGAAAAACAGAATGTCACTTCCTCAGTCCAGAGGCCAGCCGTCCGCGGGTTCAGATCTGGGGAGCCAAGACAGGAAACTCTGGTGAGCTCCTGCCCCCCCGCCCCTCCCCCAGCCTCTGGTGCAGCTGACTAGAGGGCAGGGTCTGTTCGGCGCTCCCTTGATGCACTGCAGCTGGAAGGCGAGGCTCCCTTCCAGGCTGTGGGAGTGACTCCTGAGCCCAGCACGCACAGCGGGGGAACAAGGACGTGGCCTGGGACGCCCAGAGAGAGACCAGGGGGAGACCTTGACACCTGCGACTCCCCCCGGAGGCTGACTGCAGCCCCATCTCCGGGCCTGGCACCATCTTGTACTTTTGACCCCAGCAGACAAGGCATCCTCTGGGCTCCGTGTGGGTGTATGTTTGGGGTGGGGGGAGCAAACTCCTCCCGTCTGGACACCAGACACTTCCACCTTGCCCGATGCTGCCAGCTTCTCCCCTAGAGGGGAGTGGCTGCCCGTGATCTCAGTAAACACGGCCGGTTAGCACCACCTGGCAACTGAATCCCTCATCTCCTCGACCCCAGACTCCAGCGGCGGCACCTCAGCACACCCTTGGCCGGTTATTAGCGGACCAAACTGCAGTGTCACCATGGGGTGTGTGTGTTGGGGGGGGGTTGTGGATGCGAGAGACATGCCGAATAAAGGGAAAGAGGGGACAAACAAATGAGTCACTTCATACACGAGCTGCACATGCCGCTGACGCCGCCCGTGATGCGGCGCCCGGGGGACTGAGGAAGCAGCGGCCACCGGGAGGGGCGAGCAGAACAAGGGCAGGGGACAGACAAGGTTGGAGACGCCTCAATCTCTGTGGGACCCGCGCCCCCTGGCCGCGGGCTGACGCCGCTCGGGGTAACCAAGGGTGCCCCAGCTGCGGCAGATCCAACTCCGGGTCTCCGAAAAAAAAAAACCACAATCAATACAAACTTCCACACCGGATTTAGTTTACGCCGAGGTTAGCCGGGGAGGAGCGGCCGGTGCGCGCGCCCGCCCGCCCGGCCCGCGAACCGCAGCCTCACCCCGCCGGCCCGGGCCGCCCCGCCCCTCGGCGGCGCACCTGTGACAGGTGTGCAGGTGCCTCCCGCGCCGCGGGGCGCTCCCGCCGCTCCTCGCGCCCCCCCCCCCCCACCCAGAGGACACACGGGGGAACCCACCCTCCCCGGCGGCTCAGCCCCCCACCCCGAGCCCCTCAGCCCCCTCCGCAGGCCCGGAGTCGGGGGGCACCCCTGGACTGCCGCGCCCGCCAGCCGCCCCGCACTCACATAGCGCCTCAACTTCTTCTCGGGGGGCGATTTCCTCAGCCAGCCGGTGCACACCACGTCGCCTCCGCCGCCGCTCATGCTGCCGGCTCGCTTGGAGCCCCGCCGCCGCCGCCGCCGGACGCGGTGACAAGGGCGCGGGCTGCTGGGTCAGCCCGGCCGGCGGTGCACGGCTCGGGCAGGGGAGGGGCCGGCGGCCACGGGCGAGAGGGCGAGGACGAGGCGGCGCGGCCCGCCCGCCCGGCGCGCGCGCCCGACGCCCGGCGCGCGTCCACCCGCGCACACTCCCGGCCTCGGCGGGGCGCCCCCAGCAGGAAGGCCGGAGCCCTGGCCACGCCTACGGCCCGGCGACGCCAAGGACGGCCGGAGGCCCGGAGCGGCGGGCACCGCGCCCCTTGGGGGTCTCGCCGTGGGCGAGGGAGGCGGCCGCGCCCTGGGGCGGGGCGTGGTGGGAAGCGGTGACCGCCCGCGGTCGTGCAGTGTGGAGAGGGAAAGGACCGGAGGGCCGCCCGCGTTTCCCCAGATCCATTCCCAGAGTTTCAGGTTGCAGAGGGTCAGGTTCCAAGGCGGAAAGGAGTGGCCCGCGTTTTTTCTGCGAGCGTTTAACGATCGAACACCCTTGAACGGGAGAACGGCAGGGACCAGACCTACTGTGTGCCGGGGAGCTTGCGCGTGCACTGGTTATTTACAAGATCGTCATCGCAAGTTGTCCCGGCGGAGTTGTTTAATTCTGGTGTTGGTGGGGCGGAGGAGTGGGATCCTATTTTGTTCAAAGTGGGGAAGGGGGAGGTGGGGAGGATGGCTTTCAAGTCTGCGGATCAACTTGGGTGCCTCTTACTGCTAGGAAACCAGGTCCAGCTGGTTGCCTCCCACACTGCCTCTGGGAAAACAGAATTCAGTAGAAGAAAACCGGTTTGGTTTTTGTAGAATTAAGGAATAAAAAGTCGGCCAAGAATATTTGATAGTGAATCGGATCAGAAGGCAAGGTGGGGGCAGAAGGAGAAACGGTGCCAACCTTCCAAAGGTTCCAAGTAGCAGGTCTAGACTCTGAGACCTCCCCTAGGTAAATAGGTTCTAACAATGGTCTCGCATGGGATTTAACGGAGATAAAGAATGTGGAGGCACACAGCTAGCTCTTACACTTCAAGGGAAGGCTGGGGGTGGGGGGGGGGGGACTGTACAACAGCTTTTTCTTAAGATAGCATCAAAAACCAAGGCTTCCCTGACTTGAGAAGTGGACAGTAACGAATATGAGGCATCTTGCTCTCATTGTAGCAGACCAGGCAATTTGGTTCCTTTCTGTCTCCATGCTGATACATTAGTCTCAAACAGCTGAGCATCATTTGACTCAACAAATACAGGCTGGGCTGGGGCAAATCCTCCCATTTAAATGGACTTGCAAAAGTTAACGTCTGACCAGGCATCCAGCAAGGTGGAGGGGTCAGCTCCCTTGGACCCAGCATGTCGCTGTCTTCAAGGTCCCCTCACATAAAACACAAAGCCAGAATAATTAGGCTACCTTCCAACGTGGAGATTCTTAAACATATACTAAGGGCCACCTCCAGAATTCTGGCCATTCTAAAAACTTCTGGCTTGGTGAGACATTAATCTCAAAACATTCTGCCATATCAGGAGGCAGTCACCCCCAGCCAACCTATGGGACCGTTCTGACTTCACATCTGAGTGCCAGGGAATTGCAGAGTCTCAGCAGCCTGCAAGGTCTGGCTGCGGGTTGCTGGGGCCTAAGATGCAAGCCAGGGAGGCACACGGAGGTCAGCCTTTTGCAGACCCTTTGATAGTGACAGGTGGGATGTTAGTCCCAGCGCTCCCAGAGCCCAGCACAGGCTGGACACAGGCAGTGGAACTGCAATAGAGTTCCTTGGCTGGGGCCTGGAGCAGCTCCTCGTCTGAGCCGGAGGCTGCCAGGTCTAGAAACAGCTCTGGGACAGAACGTTCCTTCTCTGGCCCTTTACTCAGTAATCTCTGCTCTTGTTCACTCCTACCCTCACTACCCTGTTTTCACTGGGGACAAACGGAAAACAAATTATCTGGATGATTTATTTGCATGAAGAGAGGCGCCACCTATCGGAACCAGTTGGGGGTGACATCTCTTCTTCCTTTCTCAACCCTTGCATGGACATGCATCACTAGCCTATAATTTAGGCAATGTTGATTAAGGACCACTGGCAATTTCCTGGGGGGAATTAATGACCACTGCCAAGAGTGCTGCGGGCCATTAATTCTATATTCCAATTAAACTTCCAGGAAATGACCCCTCTTATGATAAGGGAGCATTCCATTCATCTCTGGGAGAAATAGGAGCACCACTTTTTGCCCCCCAGTTCAGAGGTCTTCCTCTCCCCACAAAGCCTCGGTTCTAAAAGGCATGGTGTGATTTTGAATGTCGTCAGTGACAGCTTGCATTCGTGCCTGTCTCAGAGTTGAGGTTTTGGCCAGTGGCAGGTGCACGGCTGGTGAAAGGCTCCCAAGAGCGGGTGAGCTTAACTGCACACCAGTCTGGCCGTGATTAATACCATTCATGCCAGGCCTGACGTCAGTGATTGGCCTGGGTGGTGGGGGATGGATGTCCTAGCCCTTCTGCCTTTCCACCCCTTCAATTTAGTTGACAGGTTAATTCCAGCATGAGTGCTGCTTGGCGAAGTCAGTGCCAAGCCACCCCAGCAGGTGACTTATACGACAGTCCCTTCTCAGGCATACGGAGATGTGTGCCTGTTTAATTCCTTGTTGAAGTTATGCAGTTCCTAGCAACATGGTACCCTGATGTACGCAAGTGAACTCTTGGCATACAGTTGAGGATGAGATCTGAAAGTAGGCTTGGGTGTGGCTAAAGACCTAATTGAGTTTCCTCCCTGTCTGTGGCAGCTGGCAGTATGAAAATTACTTGACACTACACCCAAGTGGGAGACATTTTGGGAAAATTTTTAAGTTGGAACAACTCCAGGTTCCCAATGTCACCTCTGTTAAGAACCAGAACTAGGGTGGGCATTACAACACGGTTTATTAAGCTGCTGCTTGGAATGCCCATATCCCATTCAGAATGCCCGGTTTAAGTCATGGCTATTCTGATTCCGACCCAGCTTCCTGCTAATGTGCATGGCTGGCAACAAATGATGGCCCAGATACTTGGGTTCCTGTCACCTACATGGATATCCAGTTGGAGTTTCTAACTTCTGGCTTTAACCTGGCCCAGCCTGGGGCTGTTGTGGACATTTTGAGAGTAACCTACTGGATGGAAAAGTTCTTTCAAACAAAAACAAAACAAAAAACCCTAGCGCAGCGCGATAGTCTAGTGGCTAAGTCCTCACCTTGAGTGTGCCAGAAACTCATGGGGGTGCCAGTTCTAACCCTGGCTGCTCCACTTTCCATCCAGCTCCCTGCTTGTAGCCTGGGAAAGCAGTCGAGGACGGCCCAAAGCTTTGGGACCCTGTACCTATGAGGGAGACCCAGAAGAAGCTCCTGACTCTGGATTGGCTCAGCTCTGGCCGTTGTGGTCACTTGGGGAGTGAACCAGCAGACAGAAGAGCTTTCTCTTTATCTCCTTCTCTCTGTGAATCTGACTTTCCAATAATAATTTAAAAAAAACCTTTAAAAAGGTGTTAATTACTTTGTGGCAATCATGCTCCCATGACATTGCCCGTAACACTGGTGGGAATATTGCCAATCCAGTTGTCTCCAGAATAGACTGTCAAGGCCCTTAGGAAAATGCCTTAGTATTCAAAACCACACCACACATGCTGGTCTCTTTCTTGCCTGGCAGAGAGAATTTCTGCTTTGAATTAGAACTTGAAAGGAGATCAAGACTGAAGATACCTTTCTGTAAAACCTACTGACCCTTGCTGAACACAGTTATGCACGAATCTCTTGGTACCACAGCACATGAACAGACAGGGTTATGCCACTATACTTGCAAATGTGTTTTTGCCTGTGAAAGAGCTGTTTCTGGAAAGTGTGTTTTAGTCCTTAGAGCTTTCCAGAAGGGTGCCAGTCACAAACAGATGTTCTTGCAATGTCCTCTGTAAGCATGAAAGAACCAACGTTTAAAGGACGACAGGTGGAGGCTGCTGACCACTTGAGCATCCAGAACGCTCTGTTCATTGTTTCTGTATCTGTGGAGGTATGTGAGGTGGCCAGCGTGGTTTAAACTTCCCAGGAATGCCCTCCACAGGAGGGATGCAGATAGGGGCAATCCTGTAATAGGCTGTGATTCTTGGGCAGCTCCAAAACAACCAGCCTCCAGAGTGGGGTTTCCCTTGATGCAGCAGGACTCTGTTCAGCTGCCCTCTTTTCTGGGCCCAAGAGCTAAGGCTCTGTGGTTACTCTAGTGCCGGCCTTCCACAGGACACAGCTCTATTGGACCCGGCACTTGAGGGTCTCCACTTGTTCCCGTTGCTGAGGACACTGAGGCCACCCTTATGAGAGCAGAAACGTAGGCACAGAGAAGAGACACTTGCTCTTTCCAGACCCTGGCACTCGGAAAGATGGCCTCTGGCAAGAACAGTTCACACAGCTGCAGCCTGATATGGAGGGGCAGGACCCACTCCTTGCAGGGAGCCTTTCCTTGGGGCCACTCACCCTGTCTTTTGAGGAAAGCAGGACAAGGCCCTGGGCACAGGGGTAGAAATATGAGGCTAGTTTCCTGGTGACACAGAAGCAAAGAACAGCAAGGTTCACAGTGAACAACCTCAAGGACTGCTACAACTGCCACTTACTCCACCACCTTCTCTTGGGTCATTTCTCCTTTTTCTTTTTGCTGACAAGAATAAATTTGTTTTTTTCCTTCTCACCTGCTTTCTAGAAACTGAAACAAACCCATTCTCTGCTTGCTCGGAATGCAATTTCTGACTGCTTGAGAGTCACAAGGTTGTCAGCTCCAACTAAGCGCTCTGGACAGAACATGATGTTTCTCTCCACCATGTGTTGAGAAACAAAACTAAACCCCAAATGCATCTTCCTGACACCCAGATGTATCTTCTGGATGAGCTCTCAAGCAGTTGCTTCACCAGGGCAAACAGCTGTGGTCTGTTTCAACATAATTTGATGTAATCAGGGTTAATGCTGATGATGTAGTAACTCTGAAGACTGTTTTTTAACTGGATTACTGTTGGGTCAACAATCATGTGGCATTACACTT